CCTATATAAGAGGCCTCCTTCTATATTATAGATAGAGCACTAACCTCGTATAGCACATTGTTTATATTACACTTCTACAATGCCTATGTTGCAGGGCTCTAGTCTTTAGCCTAAGTAACCGTCTTATTATCCTATTATACTAAACATAGCTGCCTATATTGCTATAGGTCATATTACCCTTAGTGGCCTATACTATTACTGCAGGTAGTAGTAGTGGTTTTAGTTTCCGTCCTTTATCTATTATACTATCTATAACACCTTCTATATATCCCTCCTTAAACTATACTACTAGCGCGAAGGCGATAAAGCGCCTGCTAAGTTAGAAGAAGTCTTAGCCGATAGCAAAGAGCTATAGTCTATAGAACGTATCCTATAGTACTGGACTAGGAAAGGCAAGAAGGAGTACCTATTAAGATAGCAAGGCTATTTACCTAAATAGGACTCGTAGGAAGCTAAAGGTTCCTTTAAGGATATAGCTAAGCTATTAGACGAGTATTAGACTAGCGTAAAGAATAAGAAGAAGGCTAAAAGCTCGTAATATTACTAAGGCTTAGGATTAATGCTATCCCCGGGGTGCTATTAGCTAACTAATTAGAGGCAAGCAATTGTTAGCAATAAGAGACAATAGGACTATACTACTATAGAATCCACCTCTTTACTAGCGCACCCTATAGGTCCCCCTCTTATTCCTTCCTTCTAACGAGGCCTCGAAGCCTAGGCGATCGGCGAAGGCGGCGCGCGCGTAAACGGATAGTGTTAGTAATAATAATAATGCCAACGGCGTTACGCTCGTACTAAATAGCGACACGGCCGGCGCGGCTATATTAGTAACAGTATTACGGAGTGTATTGCTATTTGAGAGAGGAAGGGTATAGCTATATTAGTAACGGTGTCGCCGAGTTGTTATTAGTTAAAGAAGGAAATTAGAAGCAAGGTAAAGTTAGCGCTAAGACGACTAGCGCCGCCGTTATTAATATATCAGAGTCTAGAGGTGCAGGCTGAGGCTTAGCGCTAAGACTTACGTGACTTCTAGCCTATAAGTGCGCCCGAGATCTGTGCTTATTAAGCGCGGATACTTCCGATCTTTTGTCGCGGCGTAAGACGCTAGTAAACGGGCGCACTAGTGCAGCGGTCTGACACAGTATCCGCGCTTAACGGTCTACAGGTTCAACGGTCGCGCGTTCGATTCTCGGCGAGTCGGCGCACGCTTATTGGCCGACTAGGCTGATCCTCGGTAGACGCGGCTTCGGAGGCGCCTGATTGCCTCAGGCGCGCGACTCTGCTGCAGGCGCACCTGCCTTGGAGGGGTCGACTTATAGGCAGTTGAAAAAACGTCGCTACACCGTCGTGTGTGCAAGTTCAGATTGCGACAGTTGTTTGATTGGCTGCCTCGAGTGTGGGGTATGCCAAGGCGTTGCCTGGCTGCATGTTCGGGTGCGGGGTATGCCAAGAAGACGTTCGTTGCCCGGCTGCATGTGAGGGTGCGGGGTATAACGTCATAGGCTGCGGGGGCCGCAGCCAAGAAGAGGGAAGCGCGTATTAGAGTCCAGAGGTGTAGGCTGAGGCTTAGCGCCAAGACTCACGTGACTTCTAGCCTATAAGTGCGCCCGAGATCTGTGCTCATTAAGCGCGGATACTTCCGATCTTTTGTCGCGGCGTAAGACGCTAGTAAACGGGCGCACTAGTGCAGCGGTCTGACATAATATTACCTGCTCGCTACTATTGTTAACCTTACCTGCACTACGAGCCTAAAGCACTACACTAACTAAGTTAAAAGATTGAACCTGTTAAAGGTTTAATCAAAACTTTAAGACTAAGTTAAAATATTAAGGCTTAAAAGACTAAGTTAATAGACTAACTAAGGGCAAAACTATAGAGCTAAGCTAGCCGAGGTCGATCTTGCGGACAATAGGTTACTCCTCGATCTATCTAACCCTTTAAGCGAGGCGAACCTCTACTACTGCACTTATAATAGCCTTTACCTATAGAAACTAGACGAGCTGTGTTTTTTAAAAGATAAGATAAGATTGACAATTAAAGGCTACTAAACCTAACCAATTAGGGCTAGTAAAACTACGATAGTAAATAATAGTCCTCGTAATAATAAGAACAACCCTCGGAACGGACAAACCCTCGGAGCGGACATTTCTAGGTCTTTTAAGAGTAGACGCAAAGAACTTAGTACGACATTACTTAGAACGGAGGTAGTGCTATAATACCTCGTACGTCTACCTATTATAGTAGGGAAGACGCGCTCGTATTATAATTAGTCGATAGCCCTCAATTCTTATAGCTTTATATCCCTTTACTTTATTATATATAAGGATAGCGTAGTCGGAGTTAAACATTGTATTGTATTAGAAGTGAGGTTTAATATAGTTATATAATTAGGTAGTTAAGTGTTTAATTTAGCGCGGCTAAGCAGCTTATTAGACTTGCTAAGTTAGTAGTAATAGAGGTCGAGATTAGAATATAGATAGGCTACGAGGGCGCGGCCTTTAGAAGGGAAGCGTATATTAGAGGCTATATGTAATTGGCATGTAACTAGGCTAAGTGAAGCTAGGGTCTTAGTGCCTTAGGCAGGGCTTAGCGCTTAGCAATAGGCTAACTTGCCTGCCTTCCTCCCTCTCCTCCTAGTTCCTTATCGAATACTACTTATACCTACTACTACCCTATCTACCTGCTAACATAACCCTTCTTACATATAAGCAGGCGATATTGTGTCTTATCTATAGGCTTCGTAAGCCTCTCGAAGTGCTAGATCTAGTAGAAGGCCCTATCGTCGTTTAAATAACTAGACTTAGTTACTCTAACTAGATAGTGCGCTAGCAATTTATTAAACTATGCTTCTAGTAAGACCTTGCCTTGTGCTAGAAGCATTAGCTTAATGTATCGTCTATAAGCGTTAACGGCTTCTACTAAAGTTATATGCTTCCGATAGGTGTTAGTTATAGCCTATAAGCGGCGCTTTAGGTCTATTATAACTACCTATTCTATGCCTCTAATTCTAATCTAGAAGCTAGTCTCGTCTATATTCTAGCAGTTATCGAGAGTAATCTTATAGGTCTATATTAAGCTATATAGCTTCTTAAACTAAGCACCGATAAACTAAGGGTCGTATACTTCCTTCCGTACTACTTCGATATTCTTCCGCTTAATCTCTTTAACCCTATTCTTCTACATTTATCTCTTATGCTATATCTTACTTAATAGCTTAAATAAAGCCTGTTTATTATCTAGGAGGCCTCTTCGTATAATTAACTCGGCGGTAGCGCGGATTAGTAATATAGGAAGGCTTAGGTCTATCTGTTCTCGAGAACGGTAGTATTCGAGAAAAGCGAAGCTTTAAAATAGATTAAGTCGAGCGTATAAAGCGGTACGGTTACTACGGCTACTATAGCTATTATAGCGGTAGTAGAGGCGAGAATATATATCTTTATATCGGTTATCGCGGTACTATACCTTTAGGTCGACGAGTGCTTAGTAGGTGCGCTTATATACTTGTATTTTAGTCAATTCGATCGCGACTCGGGCGTCTTTATAACGATTCTCGGTAGTAGATTTTTGCTAGGGCTATATAACGCGTTTCTTCGACTTTCGCTTTCCTAATAGCATTGTAATAGTATTAAATAATTTATTTAATGCAGTATATGTAAATTTACGGATAGGTGATAGGTTTAGAAGATAGTTTACGAATAGGTATAGACCGCTCGCTTCGCGAGCGGCATGTGACTCCACCAAAGCCGCGGATATATGCTCTCATCAACATGTCACGTTTCAGTTCAGTCCTGTTTGAAGCAAGGAGTGCCAAGTCACGCATGTGGAATTTTGTGTCGGCCTTTTTGCATGCACCATTCACTATACTACATGATGTTTCGTCACACGTTTTGAAGATGTGATGGTCGTCGCGGATCGGGATGGATGTTTGTGCCTTTCTTAGAAGGTTGTTTGTCACGAGGCATCTCTCATCATGAGAGGCAGCATTATTATTACCATTCTGAATACTCAGAGGTCGCTGGCCAAAATTCGAGGCTTCCCTTCCCGGTCCGAAGAAAAAGAAAACGGTGGATTGAACTCACTGCAGGGCAGGGCAGGGCGTTCTGTCCTCCACCTCCATATGACTGCAGTGCAGGGAGAAACACTACACTGACACTGACACATTAGCTCGGTTTCACATGGAAGCACTGCATGCCTTCTTCCCGCAGCACATTGGTTCGCCCTCATCAGCTTCAAACTCCGTCGATCGTGTCGGCCCGGCGTTTTGGACACGGCACGACCGGATCTACCTTCGACACTACGACGCTTTCCTGCAGTGATATCACGTCCGCACCTCACACCCCTACCGTTGGGTGTACTGTAGCAGATATGATGATGTCGTGTCGTGCCTCCTCCTCCCCCCCTTCTGCTGCTGTACAACGTCTCCGCTTGATTCCTTCTTCCACGATATTTGTTTGCACAGAAACCGAGCTGGGCTCGGTTGTGTTGGAGAGAACGACTGCGGCCGCTTTCTTGTTTTTATCGTCGATACTAAGGTACTCCTGCAGGCTGGTCTGTTTTCTGCAGCTTTTCAAGTCCCACGTCAGCCCAGTGGACCTGATTTCCGGATTGCACAGCTCTTTGCATGCTGAAGGAGCTGCACCTTCGCTTATCTATTTTCGAACCTCGAAGCTTGCTTTCATCGCGCGGGCCGCGCATGCAACATTCACGACAACGAACGAAGATGCCAATTTCGACTTTTCGAGCGGTTATTGTTGTAGCATAAGTTTCTGCTGCCTTGCTGGATGTATAAGCCAAAGTTGCCGAAGATGAGAGATCGACGGAATACCAATTTGTCAATTTCTTCGACAGATTCCACCAATTCTGCGGTGTCTTCTAGATCTGCAAGAGACAGTCTCAATGAGAAGCGTCACTCCAGCCCGCCGCCGCCGCCGCCGCATTCTCCGACCTTGCCTGCTCCTGTGATAAGCAGAATCAAAGCACAGCCAGTATGGAGGCGATCAATGGCGCTCAGGCTGGTATTGTTGGGTTGTGCTGTGTTCTTGCTGTGGCGCAACATCTTTGGGCGGCCATGGGCGGAGACTCGAGTGGAAAGGCCAGTCGAGCAGACCGAGGGTCAGACAGAATGGGTTGCTGGTAACGATCTGCCTGGCGAACCTACAGCATTAGTGGTGACCGACCCGACTGGCAACGAAAAATGGACGATATCCATACCTCACAACTGGACATTTCCTCTGCCGAGCCGGTACTACAAGGATATGTGCTCTCAAGGCAATGCGTTGAGGAACAGCATGAACGTCGATCGAGGGCGAACGGGAAGCAGCCACTGGTGGCGTAAGTCCGCATATTTCTCAAAAGATCAAACATTCCTGGATGTGACCGATGCAGAGGATGTCGGCGCTCTTCCGAGATCAAAGGAGATCACCTCTAATGTCTGCGAGCGAAGCATGACGTTCGTCCTGGAGTCTGACGACGCCAGCTTCGGGCAGACTTTGCTGAGACTCTGGCTGACTTACGGATTGGCCAGGGAGGAAGGTAGAAGCTTCTTTCTGGATGACTCGAGATGGGCATGGGGAAGATATACCTCATACTTCGTTCCCATTGCGAAGCCGGCATGCTCCCGTCCTCCGGCGCACCACGTTGTACCTTGTCCGCACAGCGCGAAGCACCTAGTCGTCTCCTCGGCGACAATTCCATGGACATTTGGCTCCCCATTCCAGAAAGAATTTCAAGGTCACCATAAGCATGGACTCACTTCCCAGCGGCGCATTTTCGAGCTTATACGTACAGGGTACGAGAGCCTGTTTCATTTGACGGGTGAAGACGCCCTATACGCCGACTCGCGGATCGCCAAGTTCAAAGACGACGCTGAGCGGTCGAATGGTCTGCTTGTCGGTGTGCAAATCCGGCGCGGCGACCTGCATCCTTACGAATACCAATATAAAGGAGACTACCTACCTCTCGAGCGGTATGCAGATGCTGCACGATCCTGGCTGCAATCCCAACGAGGCGCCTCATCTGACATCGGAAGGAATTCGCCTGCGGACCTCGCCAGATCGTCTTTGGTGTTGGCTTCTGACGATCCAGATATTCTCGAAGATCCAGAACTACTCCAAGCTGCCTCGCCACTTGTGATCCAAAAGGCACAGACTCGGATCCAGCTCGCTACCAAGGCGACTCTCGACCTGACATCACCTGTGCGACCTCCGCGGGAGCCAGGTTCAGCGTACGTGAAGCACATGGACGAGAATACCGGTTGGGAAGGTGGCTTCTACCGCGCGTTGTTCTTCTCGTTGGGCGGTGCCAAAGCCGGCGATAACAAGACGCTGCCTGAACAAGCTCTTCGGTTGCGAAACTTGGTTGGTAGAGCATATTTGTTGGACTTGGCAGTGCTCGGCGAGAGTGACGGCGTGGTCTGCGCAGTCAGCAGCGCCACCTGTCGTGCATTGGCGGTAATGATGGGCTGGAATGCCTTGGTCGAAGGAAGATTTGTCAATGTGGACGACCATCGGACTTGGTCCTGGGACAGCCAGAGATAGAGGGGCTTGATTCCTCGCAAGCGATGTCCAGCGCCCGCTCGACTGGACGTTCGTACACTTTTCCTGATTAGCATAGCGGCTGGCGTCACACAAGATACCCCTTGATAATGAATTGTCTTTTTTTGTGAGAGTGCCGGTGCATAGTGTTCAATCTTTCCAACGTTGCCACAATTCTGGAATTCTAGCGCTGGCTGTCTTGCTGATACACATGGCAGGATCTACTTCTTTGATGCCGTCTACGCCAATCATGCCGAGTGCAGCGAGCCCAAGGCAACTGTGATATAGATCTGGCAAATCGCCAGGAAACTTGCCGAAGCCGCCCAGGGCTGGATGCTGTGTCTTACCCAGCAAATATCGCTTCAGTGCAATGTGATTGAAAAGTCGAGGTTGATCCATCATGAAGAACGACGCGCCTGCCCACCACGCGTAGCAAGTGTCTGCAGCCTTGTTCATGCGGCCGTTCATGCCCGCTTCCTGTGGCTCTGGGCCAAACGGCGCAGTTGGTATCGACTTGTCAGGACTCTGGTGAAGTTCGCCAGCCATGGGATCAGGCTCCACGCTGCCTTTGGGCACACCATCTTGATGTGGAGCATCTTCAGGCACTTCTGCTTCGGGCCCATCTGTGGCCGCAGCATCGACATCGACTTCATCCTCAGGTTCTTCCATGTCGGTCTGTCTTTCCACAAGCCAGCGGATTGTCATGTTTGGATCGCTAGGGCCATGGTGCCTGCTCTTGTCCAGACTTGCTGTTGCTGGGGTCTGCAATCGGTTTACAAAGTTCAGTGCTCCAAGGGCGCAGAACTCGTAGCCGGCGTGCGGCTCGTGGAAAGGTTGATCTGCTATGCCACCATCATATGACTGTGAATTGTATTAGCGACATGTCTGGCCTCGTACATTCAAGCTCCCACCTCGGCCAAAGTGATGCATCGAACAAGCGCGTCAATATCAATGTCATCAATCATCGCATGATCAATCTTCAGCGGCCCTTCCGTGTCGCCTCGGAGGATGTAGCGGATGCCTGCTGCACAATAGCCAAAGCGAGGGTCCATGCCGCCTTCCACATTACCGTCTACCAGAGTCTCCCCGAATGAGCCATCGTCACGCTGCATCTTCTGGATCCATTCTAGAGTCTTCCTGCGCTTCACACGCTCGAGATCATCTCCGCTGGCCAACAAAGCGGAAAGGGCAAAATAGGTGGCAGGCACATTGGCCGGATCCCACTTGGCATTGGATCCATTCCGCAATGCACCAAAGTCGGTGCCGGGCCACATGCGAAAGCCACCATCAGGATGCTGGCAGTGGTAGATCCAGTTGATATAATCGTTCCGTTCTTGCTCGTGCGCGACGACCGTCCACGAGTCAAGAAGGTCCAGTGCCGACAGGATGAAGAAAGCGAGATACATGCGATTGCTCTCGTTGCCCGTGTAGTGATGTGGCAGGTATGTCTTCAAACATCGCGTCCAGTATGCCACATGCCTCGCCTGCGCTTCCAGAGTCAGCAAGCATGTTTCCGCGAGATGGCGTCAGAGATTCACCTTGGCCAGCACAGGCTCGGGCTCGGCAGACACACCGTCGCCCATGGCAGCGAGCAGAGCGGAGGCGAAGGCTTGGCAGATCCATGCACATGCGATGTGCTTGCAGCAACGCCGCCTCCCAAACGCCGTCGCCGTCGCCGTCGCCGTGGCCGTGGTGACCTCGCAGGTGGATTGTGCTTGGTCCTCACCAAAGTCTCCGCCACCAGGAGAACACAGCGTAAGTCCGAGATGAATTTAGAGTTTCGCTTGCGGCCCTTATCGATAGAGAGCCGCCATGTGCTGCCTCGCCTATCAACCATCGCTCCATCTCCACCACCACCACCACACTTCAACCCATCTTTCTCTCGTTACACCTTTTCCTTCGCCAAAGCGTCGCTCGCCAGACGTCCGACGATGGCGCCTCGACGAGAGCATGTTGTGACAACCGTCTTCTCCACTCAGGTCCAGTCTCACGACCACAGGTCCATCCTGGTCGAGGCCGGAGCCTTCACCCCAACGCGCTGGTTTCTCGAGCATGGCGCGCGACCCAACAAGAATCAGGAAGAGGACGGCGAGCCGCCAAAGAAGCGACGAAAGGTTCAGCCAATAGAACCCCCGACACCGGTTGCTGAAGAAGTTCCACTGTTCGATGTCGCCATCGATCTGCACTTTCCAGAATCTGTCAATTCAAAATCGGCCTCACCTTCCACTGTACGCGAAGATGTCGACTTTGAGGGAATGCCCAGCCTTCCTGTGGCACTATATGGCATCGAGACGGATCGGGAGGGCACGAGGCTGAGGCTTAGTCTGCCCCAAGGCAGGAAACCGGTCTTGCTCATCGAGTGCGGCGAGGTCCCGGAGAAGGTTCTCGCATTATTGCGCAGCATTGCTCTACCCGTTCAGCCGAGAGCCACCACATCCAGACAACAAGATCGACCGGCGTCTCTGACCTCATGCTCTCTCACTCGCTCGGCCGGACCCACCTTCACTGTGGTGCGTCTGCATGCATCTCTGAAATGGCGATCTGGGTTCTCTGCCTTCCCAGCTGGAGCTCCTGTCGGCGCTGCACGTGTCTATCCAGACTATCAGATACTACTTGACGCATATCCGGACGCCGAGCGAGAAGCCTTCGACCACAGTCAGCCATTTACCCCGCAAGATTTTTACGAAGGTGTCCACGCACCTTCCAAGGACGTAGATACACCCGAGCACCTGTATCGGGACGTTCTGGAGTCAGATCTGTATCCATTTCAGAAGCGAGCTGTGACTTGGATGCTGAATCGTGAGAGCGTTGGGCCTTCGCGTGACGTCTCACCGTTCACAGATGCGGGCATTCAGGCTAAAGATGATCCAATGCCAGACACGAGATTCTTCCACCGAGTTATGGATGCTAGCGGTCAAGAATGCTGGGTGAACCATCTTCAAGGCGTTGTGAGCCGCATGCCTCCCCAGGATGGCGCTGCCAGACTTTCGGGCGGCTTGCTGGCTGAGGAAATGGGTCTCGGAAAGACAGTCGAGCTCATGGCACTTGTTGCCCTGAATACGCGACCAAGAATGTCTCCTGGCATGGTCTTTGATCGGAACTCGGGCACCAAGATCTCTCCATCGAAGGCCACCCTAATCGTGACCCCGAGCTCTTTGACTCAGCAGTGGAAGTCGGAACTTGAGCGCCATGCTCCCGACCTCAACATCTTTCATTATGAAGGCATTTCTACGGGTCACGGCAAGAAGAAAGATCGATCGGACGCGACAGTGATCCGAGAGCTCTGCGAGGAATACGATGTGGTCATCACGACATATCAGGTCTTGGGGCGGGAAATTCACTTTGCTGAAGATCCTCCTGATCGAGCTATGCGGCACGCAAGGAAGCACGAACGGAAGCGCAGCCCGCTAGTGCAGATTGAATGGTGGAGAGTGGTTCTTGACGAAGCCCAAATGGTAGAGAGTGGTGTCACAGCGGCTGCACGTGTCGCCTGTCGCTTACCACGAGTTCATTCCTGGGCAGTCTCTGGCACTCCGCTTCGCAAAGACGTCCAAGATCTACTTGGTCTACTGATCTTCCTGCGCTACGAACCATTCGCCAACAACGGGAAATTGTGGAGTCATCTAATCACCAATCATCGGCATCACTTTCGAAAGATATTCGGCGAGATTGCCCTTCGACACACAAAGGCACAAATCAGAGACGAGCTTCAACTGCCTCCGCAGAAGCGTGTAGTTGTCACTGTGCCTTTCTCCGTCATCGAACATCAGAACTATACCGAACTCTTCGATCAAATGTGCGAAGAGATTGGCCTGAACAAGAGTGGTGAGCCGATACGAGGTGATTGGGATCCGAGCGATCCTCGTACAACTGAAGCCATGCGCTCATGGCTAGTACGCTTAAGGCAGACCTGCTTGCATCCGCAAGTGGGTGGCAAGAACAGAAGAGCCCTGGGAAGAGGCACGAATCCGCTGCGTACGGTTGCGCAAGTGCTGGAACTTATGATCGAGCAGAACGAGACCAGTCTGCGTACGGAGGAGCGGACTCTGGCTGCTTCATCACTTCAACGTGCACACATACTCGGCAACAATCAGGCAGATCAGAATCGCTCACATCAGGCCCTGGAGATATACAATGCCGTGTTGTCCGACAGCGAGAAGTTGGTGCAAGAGGCGAGGTCACGTCTAGCAGCCGCAAAAGCTGCCGATCCTGGTGCCTCCAGTGACACCGAGAATGAAGACTCTGCTACTGAATCTACGCCTTTGATTGGCCGTCTGAAGAGCAATTTACGCACGGCATTGCAGGTGCAACATCAGGCCGCATTCTACGCTGCCACTTCGTACTATCAGATCAAAAGCAACGAAAGCTTGACAAAGGCAGATTCTGACGAGTTCAAGCAGCTTGAAGCGAAAGAGGTAGAACTGTACGAAACGGCCAAGATCATGCGAAAAGAATTGATGCGGGAGACATTTCGCAAGGCGGAAAGCTTCATGCGAAGACTCCGAGATCTCGACGCCGGGAACGTGAAGAAGTTCACTCAGCTGCCAAAAGTCACGGACCTACCAAGCACAGGCGGCATCGAGAGCAGACGTATTGTGGAGAAGAGCGACGAACTGTTTGATGTCATTCGAGAACAGGTCGCCGTGCTGAAAGAATGGCGAGCCAAGATGACTGACTTCCTGATCAAGCCATTGGTCGACACAGACGATGGCCTCGTTGAAATCACCGGTGACGAATACGAAGACTCTACGAAACAGCAAGATGAGCTCTACGTCTACTTCGATGCCTTTAAAGCTGTGCATGCCGATCTCAACGCTCTTATCACGAACGAGAGAACCTCGCTCATTGATCACGAAGTTAAGGAGGCTGTCAAGAGAGCGGAGTGGGTGCTTGATCCAGACCTACCCGTGGAGCAGAAGCCGGAAGAGGTCCATGCACCCCAACTGAAACTCGACCTCTACACCATCCGGAACAAGCTCAGAAGTCGCAGGAACATGGTCGGCTCGATACGTTCTCTCATTCAGGAGGCTCGCTCACTGGAGGTAACATCGCAATTCGGCGGCGGCTCTCGGTTGGCGACCGAAGGAGTGTTGATCCAAGGCCACATCGATGCGCTCCAAGCCGTCTTCTCTGCTTATACCAAGGCCCTCGCTGGTCTTGACAAAGAGCTGCAGCTCTTTCGCACGACACAAAACCAGCGAGTGGAATTTTACAAGCAGCTGCAGGATCTGTCGGACTCGGTCGCGCCATACAAGGACGAACTAGACACTAATCTTGATCAAGATGCGCTAGGCGTTGCAATGCAAAAGGAAGAGCAGTCCTCGAGCAAGCTTCAGCAGCTTCAGATGAAAGGACGTTTCCTGATTAACTTGAGGGAGGAGGACAGTGGGCAATCTGGACCAAGGACCTGTATCATCTGCATTTCCACTTTCGAACGCGGCGTACTCACGATCTGTGGCCATACCTTCTGCAAGGAATGTCTCCAACAATGGTTTCAACAAAAGCGGTGCTGTCCCACTTGCAAGCGCAAGCTTGGTGCTCACGATCTTCACGACATCACATTCAAGCCGCAGGAAATCCGTCTCCAGGAGGAGTCGGCCCAAGCCTCATCCCCGCAGTCACCTGGAAACACTGCTGCACCATCGACGAAATCCATCTACAGTGACGTGGACTCTCGTCTCATGGATGAGATCAAGTCGATTGACCTACCCACATCATATGGCACCAAGATCGATACCCTGGGAAGGCATCTTCACTGGATTCGCGACAATGATCCGGGCGCCAAGTCCATCATTTTCAGTCAGTATCGTGAATTTTTGGACGTGCTGGGAGGTGCGCTGAGAGATTTCAAGATCGGCTTCGCTCGCCTCGGCCGCTCCGGTGCTGTCGAAAAGTTCCGCAATGATGCCAGCATCGACTGCCTTCTTTTGGACGCGAAGACAGACTCCTCTGGCCTCACACTTGTCAACGCCACTCACGTCTTTGTATGTGAGCCTCTCATCCAGACAGCCGTGGAGCTTCAAGCCATTGCGCGTGTTCACCGAATTGGACAGACTAGGCCAACCACTGTGTGGATGTATCTCATCAATGACACAGTGGAGGAAGCAATCTATGAGACATCAGTGGCTCGCCGACTTGCTCACGTGCAGTCTCGCGAGCAAAGGCAGCGAGAGAGTCAGAAGAGCAGATCAGCGACACCAGCGCCGCTGCAGGAGAACGCGATAGATGCTGCAAACTCGGAAGAATTGCAATCGGCGCCGCTCACCAAGCTACTGGTTGCAGGAAAAAGCGGCGGAGAGATGGTGGCGAATGACGACCTCTGGCAGTGCCTCTTTGGCAAGGCGCAAAAGCTCACTCACAGTGCTGCAGCGCGACAGGAAATTGGTCGGCATCTACGAGCAGAGGCAGCAGAAGCGCGAGCTGGCGCCCAGGCACCAGCGCCAGGTCCAGATTCGAATGAGGCCGAGCGAGAAGCTTTACAGATCGTGAGAAGACACGAGGAATTGTGACGATGTTCGCGCATTTGCATCTGGGCGCCACATTTGATACATGTATAGCTTTGCGGTTTTGTGCATGATGACGGAATGGGTCCTAGACTAATACATAAGATGCTAGATGTCGATGGCACTGCTCTTGCACTGCCATTCTGATTGATGACAAGCTTCCGAAGTTATCAGATGCTCGTATACAATATAGTCTTCAGGCGTCTAGTTGGTTGTTGATCAAAGGCCTGTGTGTGGAAGTCCGGATCCGGATCTGCACCAGGATGGGAGCCTCATCTGTGCGGGCCGGTGGAGCCGAAGATGAGCGAGCAATCCGAGGCGAGGCGAGGCGACGGCATGCTTTTTCCTTTCTTTCATCTCAGCCTTCATTATTCACACAGATACAGCATATGGCATGTGCAGAGACGCAGCCTTGCCAACCTTCTGCCACCGGAAACACGTGTGAAACCACTCCGAGTCCCATCACGGTGTTGCCTCACATCCACCAACCAGACCTCCCTCGCCAACACTCACCTACGATGCAAAAGCAGACGAACAAAGCTCCAAACTCACAATTCCAGATCGCGATTCAGGCACCCTCCTCATCAGATGTGTGAGGATGGAATTGCGCAATGCCAGGCCGGTTGCAAGAAACCTAATAATAAAGTTGTATCCATTATCATCAGGCTTTGTATACTTGCCACCGATTATGGCGGTTATAGAAGCCGCTATAATCTCGAGCGATTATGGTCCACTATAACCGGTTGTTGCTAGACGATTATAGGTTATTGGTATCTACATTTTAAACCTCCGCGGCACCTACGGCTCGGCGCTATTGCCTTCCTTCTCTTTTGCCTTAGGCCTTGTAGTATAAGTCGCATATAGTATACAGTAGATAGTAAGTAATTAATAGCGGTATAGAGCGGTATAGAGGTAATCGTCGTACGAATTCGGAGGGAGAAGTAGTACTCGTTTAGAGGGTAGTTTACCGTATAAATATCGACTCTAAGAAGCAGTTAGTCTCTCGCGTTATTTAGTCTATATAACTATAGTATTATAAGGCACTAATACGTCTACTTCTTAGCTAAAGACGCCTACTGCTAGGCCTCGTAAACGAGCTGCAACTAGTACTGCTCCGGCTACTACTATAAAGGACAATAAGTAGGCTCGGACTATACTATAGTACTAGACTTTAGAGCAGAATAAGTACTTTCTTAAGCAGTTAATCGAGCTAAGGAAGGTTAGAAGAGGCACCGAAGCTAATAACTTTAAGATCGACGACTTAAGGCCTCTCGCTAACCTATTAAACTAGAAGTTTAGTACTAATCGCAATACCGACGCCTTAAAGAATAGATAGTCGACAATTAAGCGAGATTAGAGTATATAGATTGCTTATTTAAAGCATATTAGTAGGTAGAATAGTATGCCGCTAATAGCCGAGTCGGACGTAGAAGACGTCTATTTCGAAAAGAACCCGAAGTATGCTCCCTTCCGCGACGAATTGCTAGAGTATTATAAGTTAATAGACGAGTTAATTAGCTAAGATATAGCTATAGGCGACAATGTAGCTACCGTAGAAGAGTTAGCGGAAAGTAGTACGAGTAAGGAGTCGGAGGTTAATAAGGGTATAGGCGAGCTCGGTAAGGCTATTATAAGGCCGTTTACTAAGGAATAGCTACTAGTTCTGCGAGCGGCGAAGGTACAAGATAAGTATTAAAAGAAGATACAGAAGGAGGCCGATCGTATCTATAAAAAACAGGACGAGGCGAGTAAGGCGAATGCTAATACTACGAGGTCGATATAGAAGGCATTCGAGCCGCTAGTACTAATAGTAGCGGAGGTTGTAAAGGAAGGAAAGGAAGATCGGATTGCGGCGAGGAAATTAGCTAAAGAACAGCGTATCGAGCGGATTGCTACTACTAGCGCTACTGCTAACGCCGGCACTACTATTAGTAAGGTTACGAAGCGCCTATTAGATAAGAAGACATAGGAGAAGATAGACATACTAATAGCAAACCGTATACTATTAGTCCGCGAGTATACGAAGAAGAATAGTAAATACGACTATACTAAAGTCGCTCGTAGTATAAACTAGGCGCAGTTCGAGGAGTATTTCCTTACTATATTAACGGATCTACGGTCTAACGATTAGCAAAATAGATATCTGCAGGGTTTAGACGGTGGATATATACTAATAGGGTATAGATAATATATTATTGTTATTAAGAAGGATTAGAAATAGCAGAAGAAGCTATAGAAGTTGTATTATATTAAACGTTATATATATAGGTTCTAGGTGTTAGGACGACTTTTCGATGTAAATGCACGCTAACGTCTATACTATTAATTTGTATAAAGGTGTTGTTAATTTTTACTAGCAAATATTAGTTACGTATAGGCGTTTATATATATAAGAAAACGATATCCTATTAACTCGAACTCTAACAATGCTAAGACTAAGCGATTTATACCCTACTAGCATTTCGATAGGAGCGATAGTAAAGTCCGAATATAACGCCTCGAACGTAGAAACAGCGCTCCTTACTAAATTCCTTACTAAAAACAGGTCCCCGCTATTTACCTTTGCATCTAGCGACTACCTCTACCCTCTACTATATTCTTCGCTATACTCTAACCGGTGCTTCTTGCTTCTGCGCCCTTATATTAAGACCTGTCCTTATTTAATACGCATTATAGTCCGCAAATATCTACTACGCTATCCTATCGCGAAAGTCTGCGTAGCATTCGTCGTTAATAGCCTCGTTGCCGTGCTTCTCGTTGTCTAGATAGACCTCCGCCGTTATATTAGCGTCCCTCGCCGCATTTAATTTAGCTTTAGTAGGCACTAAATATAGCTCCTTCGAGAGCGGTTGTCGGCTATCGGAAATGATAAAATTATAGATAATAGTATAGGCGATAATAAAGCGGTTTTGCTAAGCTATCGACTAGCTGTTTAGCCTATATTTAATAATCTTAAACCGGCGGTTTAAGACACTAAATACCCTCTCGATACAGTTGCGAAGCTAAGCGTAGCGGAGGTTAAATAACTCCTTATAATTCTCGGGTCTTGCTTCTGCCTTACCCTGCTCTCGGAGGTAATATCTCGTCCTTTAGTATAGTATAAGAAGGCGTAGATCTTTGAAGGAATAACTACCGTCGGCGAGGTAGAAGTATCTATCTAGTACCTCGAAATCTAACTAATAGGCCTTCCTTAATATAGTGCTATCGGTCGCTAAGCCCTCGTAACCTAGTATAATAAATAGGAAGCGTAAGGACGAGTTGCAAGCAGCTATTACATTCTAAGCGATAAATCCCTTCCGATACCGCTATAGATTAGCATTAATCTTCCGTAGACTAGTAATTAACAACGTACTATTAAGGGCGCCTATAACACCCTTAAAGTATAGCTAAAACTTGCTACTATCCTTACCTTCCGCCTACGCCGGTTTCTTAGTATAATCTAGAAGCTTTATCTACCGCTTAGCAATACGATATACGTACTTCGAAACCTCTCGTACGATATACGCCGCTATATCTCTTAAGACACCGATGTTACGGATCTGATTGGTTAGAGTCCTTACATAATCTTAGAGCGACGCTAAGACTAGTAGGCTAAGCTGTCGCTCTATCTTACTAGGAGCGATAGGAGCGGTCGAGAGCGATAGCGTCGCTTACGTCGCTTACGACTATAGACAAGATGTCTCCTTTATATTTAGGAACGCCGGAATGCCCTTATAGCTCGAGGCGTTTAACTTATATTACCTACTCACTGATTGGAATTACCTTTGTACCAATTATTCTGTCTCTGCCTCCCGCTTATATTAGCCTCTCTAAAGAAGCCTCGGCTTACACGTAATAAGAAGTTACCTAACGATCTGTCGCGAGTAACCGTAACACTTTAAACGCCCTTAGGATAAGTGCCTTATTACAAGTCGGAAGGGGAACTCCCGCCCCTAGCGAGACAGGCAGTACTCGACGTACTACCTCTAGTGCTAGCAATACACTCGGAACCTATACCGGAAACGATTCTCTTAAGATCGGAAAGCTAGACTTTTATTACGGCGACCGAGACAAATTCGATACCTGGGTTAGCTAGATAGATATGTATTTCATGTTTAACTAGGTTCAAGATAACTTAAAGCTAGTCTTCGCAACGACGTTTATACGAGGTAGGGCTTAGTATTAGGTTAAACCATTTCTTAGGACCTATCTAGATAGCAACGGGACCGACAATTCGGATGGAATCTTCGCAAGCTACGAAAATCTTAAGCGTACGATAAAGAAGGTCTTTAGATCTTCTAACGAAGTTGCTACCGCAGTTAGGGTTATCTAACATTTAACTTAGAAGGGGTTATATACCGATTACGCCGCTAAATTTCAGGAATACGCCTAACTTACGGATTAGGACGACGAAGCTCTTATAACAATGTATCGGCGAGGTCTTAAGGACAACGTTAAAGACGAGCTTATACGCGACGGTAGAAAAATAGATGATATAGGAACATTAGTTAAGGTTACGATCGATCTCGACGATAGGCTCTACGAACGAGCTTTAGAACGACGTTACGATTCTAAGACTTCTAGAAAAGCTAGTTATACTCCTAGATACGATAATAGACGAAACTACAGTACCTACGATAAACCAAAAGGGAACAACTACTACGGTGCGCAACTAATAGAGCTAAACGCTACCTAGAAGGGTCGAGTAATTAAAGGAAGAAAAGGCAAGAGTTCGCCTAAGAAAGTAGGAAGATTGACTTACTATACGTATAGCAAGGAAGGCTATATAGTACGGAACTGCCGCGGCAAGAATATAGTGCGACGCGAACAGTTCAATATAATATAACGAAAGGACTCGGGCAGAGAAGGCTACCGAATAGTAGTAGAGCTATACTCTATTAATAACGCGCCGAGGACCTACGTAGAGGTCGTAAAGGAAGAGCTACGACAAATCTATATAATAGCACGACGACAAGAACCCGTATATAGAGCCCTTTACTAGAGATTCTGTTACGACGACTAATACCAAATTCATTATTCTGCTAAAGTAGAAGTAGGATTTTTCCCTTAGATTAGGCGACTCGTACGAGAAGATGCGAAATCCTAGTTAGAAGAAGAAACGATTAATGAATCTTACTTAAATGCCGACGATAAAGAAAACCGAGATCCGGAAGCTTTATTCCCTCCCGGGGAGGAGTTAGGAGCTATCCTAGAAGTACCGGAGTCCCCTTAGTAAGAGGAGGAACAGCAAGAAGATTTAGAAGGAAGTCTAGATACCGAGGAAGAAACTACGAATAAAGAAAGTAAAGACGAATTCGGGATTAACGACGATACGATCCTTACGTTTATAATAGATGCACCTATAGCAGCGCGAACAATCGCCTTGCATCTAGTACGTAAATACGAGGAAATGTTTCTAAAGGTTAACGGACAACGGAAGGTCGATCCTATCCAATTTGATTATTTCTAGATAAGCTTACGGGCAAAATTCTAGAATTACCCCCGGATACCTATAGACTATGCGTACTATAACTTTATTACGGAGCGAGTACCGATAGGAAGTATAATTACGCCCTACGGATACGTCCTACCCGACGAAAGGACGATTATTACTCAAGATATACGTTAGACGGTCTAGCGATTAAATTAGCAATACCGAAAGGCTATAGCAGCGTAGGGACAAGATATATGCAACGATACCCTCGAGGAAAAATTATATGCCGAAGAAGCACGAACGGCAGGACTACGGATCCGTAACTA